TAATGGACTACACAGCATAAAAGTCATTTGCATTTGTACTATACTACAGTTGTCGTTGAGTCTCTTTGTATCTTAGCCTCTTGACGTTTGCGTTTCTACCAGAAGGACCCAGGTGACGCAGGCAATGTAACTCTCAGCCGTGACTCGCTACTACAAAGCGTCGTACGGGCGCAGGCTTCATGAGTTCAGGAACAGGCACGGCATATCTATTGGACGCGATTCCTGGTCAAAGTGCTATGGATGGTGGGCGCAGCACTCTGGAAGCAAAATACGAAGCGTCTATGATTACATTGTACCTGTGCACCTGTATTGAATCGTAATTGTAATAGACAAATCATACAACTATCAATCATACTTTTCGTAACAATCAGTTCAACTATGACACAACACTTAAAACCTGACTGTTGAGCCCGAATGTTTTGGCAGAATGGCTACGTCTCCAGCAGTGCTTAGCTCAGTTTAAGACGATATATGCTGTTCGTCCAGTTGAGCTCCTATGTCATAAGGATCTGTCTGATAGATAATAACATGGACCCCAAGGACCGGATATCTGCCCCACGTAGAAGTCGCTTGTCTTCGAATGTAAGAGTCAGAAAATGTTACGCTATGTCACCGGGGCTCAGGCTCCGAAAGCTGAGGTACTTAGCTGCAGACGCTCTCCGCTTTCAAACTACATGCATCATAACGTTGACGCAATTCGACCCCCGAAGGCCGATTCAATAATATGGATTCTTACAGTCAACATGTCATGAAGCCAGACGCCTTGACTTGACGAAGTTTTGGGGGTTCGTCCCCCCATTTTCCCCTTGCATAAGATGCATGTGTGAATATCAAAGCAGATGATCTTGGTAAAACAAATCTCAGTATATCGAATATTTAATGCCCTCTTCATTGAACAGATCCCGGGCTGTTAACAAAAGTAAGTAGGCTCTGATGACCCTTATCTCCCTTCGGCCAAGTGGAACGGAGACTTCAGTTCATCGGAAGCAAACACGCCCGGGTAGTGTCATCTTGACTAATACCTGCAAATTATAAATGGACGGAACGCACCCACTGTTCCCCATTAGTATTCGGCGGCAAAATTTGCTCAGAAACGGCCATCGTTATATCCACCCAAAGCTGACTAATTGAATCAGTCTTGTTCCACAGATGCGGTTGGGAAACCAATATTCCTGCTGGTGACACAGTGAGCGGGGATGTCGGGTGCATGGGAATCATCATCTACCATGACGGAGGTGGCATGGTGGCTTATGCACCTCGTTTTCGTTAATAAGAGACCGGGAAGGTCTCCATAGTCCCACCACCAAGAATGACCAATCTTGCTTATAGGTAGTCAGGTCTCACAGATGGTACCTCAAGTCGATGCTTTGAAACACAGATGTACGTTGGTAAACTGATAGATAAGTTGGCCTTGCTGCCTCTAGTGCGTCTATCCAGTCAACTAACCCCAGCACATACCTCCTTAAACTACTCAGCCAAGTTATATTAGCAGTTCTCATCTTTTGATCCCAATATGTCGTCTTTTAATCGTATCGCTATCTACGGGCATCGAGGCTGGGCAAGCTCGAAGATAACCGAAGCCTTGATCGCTTCGGGAGCACCCATTCGAGTCATTTACCGACCAGGATCCGATATCTCAAGCCTGCCCGCCTCCGTCACCAGTGTGGAGGTGGATGTCAACGATGAGAAAGCACTCGTTGATGCCCTACATGACATTGACGTCGTAATGTAAGTACTTCTTGGTCTCGAGGTACCATTCGGGTTCAGCCCATCCCGACCAGACGCTCTGACAGTCTCCCAGCTCCCTCGTTGGGCACGAAGGCGTTGAGCGACAGCATGCCTTTATCAAGGCCATACCGAAGACGGAAGTCAAGTTGTTTTCGCCTTCAGAGCTCGCGGGTCAATACGACGAACAAGGGTTGAAGATCGGCGTCAACAAGGCTAAGCGCCAAGTTGAGGAAGTTTCTATCGCGGCTGGTATACCGACGTCGCTGGTACTGCTTGGAAACTTTGCAGAGTTTGCACTCAACACTCCGTGAGATTACCCTCTATTTGCTTGCATTTCAAACTTTGAACTTCGTCTCGGCTGACTAGAGCATCGACATAATAGTGGCATGGGTGTAGACTTGCCCGGTAACAGAATCGTATACTCGGGAAACAGTGCCAAGGAGGTTGTGGACTTGTGGTAAGTCGCAGCTGATGCTGAAATCTGAGCAAACTCGAATGCTTAACAATGTGATGATTAGCACCAGGAATTACGTGGCCGCGGCATATGCTGCTATCTTCGCTTCGACGCCAATTGCTCAGATTCAGAATAGGTCAATCTCAATTTCGGAGTTGAAGGTCACTGGAGAACAGGTTGCTACTACGTTGGAAAAGAAGCACGGCGCTCCTCCTCGCCTCTCCTCCTTGAGTCTTGAGAGAGTCAATTCCGAAGTCGAAGCAGGGCTCAATTCAGGTAGTCTCTTCACCCTAGCTTGGTACTGCCGTAAGATATGGGGCACTGGCCAGCAAGCCAAAATGGTTGGGACCGATATCTGGGAGGTCCAAGGGTATGAAAAGGCAACTCTTGAAGATCTCATCGTCGATGGAAAGCTTGGAGCGTATCGCCAGCTTCCGCCCCAGGTTGCGGAGTATTTTCATGGCACATTTTGAATAGCTCCCACGGTTTTTCAATGCAGTTGAAGGTGGATGGTTTTCGTAAGGGCAGCCATTTGCGTCATATCTAGGAGCGCTTGGGTAATGAATGGAAACAGCTTTAATATCATTGTTCAGGGATCTTCTTTGAGTGTCTAGTGGATTTAATGTGCTTATAAAAGTGATCCAATTGCCTCTCAACTGATGATTCTCTGTGATCCCCTTAGGAACTAAATAATCCAATGACTTTCCATGTCTTCTGCAATGATGGACCAGGCACTTGGATCTATCAGAGTCAATGCCAATGCCACTAGTTGAAGTTCTTCTTGGCCTAATTGAGCGGTGTTAGTCAGAAACGCCAAGGTACAATGATCGGTATAACTTACCTCCTTCAGGTTCTCCTCGTTAGTCTTCTTGCCCTTCTTGAAAGTAGCATCGAGCTTGTCCAACGACCCCTTATCCTTCTTAGGGTCGCCAGTCAAGCCATTGACTGTCTGCTTCGCACCCTTCTGCGCATTCTCGACCTTTCCCAGTCCCTTGGTCAGGGCAGGGTCCTTGTTACCAGCAATCTTTTGGTTCTTCTGGCGATCCTTAGTTGCCTCATCCAACGCACTATTGATCTTCTTTTCGTCCTTCTTCAGGCCCTTGGCGTCGTTCTTCTTCGCAGCGTTCTGTGCCTTCTCAGTGGCAGAGATCTCCTTGTCGCCGGCTTTAAGATTATCTTTGATGCCCTTCTCAAGTTTCTTCTTATCAGAAGAGGGCTTTGTGTTTGTTGCCTTGGTGGGTGCTTTAGTGGTTGCCTTAGTAGTTGCCTTGGTGGTAGAGGATTTGTTGTTGGCGGGATTGGCTACTGGAAGAGCCACAGTGAGAGCAACCAAGAAGAGAAGGAAAGCGAGGGTAAGACGCATTTTGAACGACTCAAGGAGTTAGGTTGAATGATTGTCTTATGAGATTAAGTAAGTAAAGTGATAGAGATCCGAATCCTGTCGGATGTTGTGGAAGAGACAGTAAAGTAATGATTGAGTGGTGCGATGACCGGGACAGAATAGTGACTGCAGTTGGGTTTACCGACGGTTTTATACTCATCTTCTACGATCAACAAAAGATGCTGAAGAGTCAGCAACTCAGGTGCTTAGTGGCGGCCTCGTGAGGTGGACCCTGGTGAAGCGGCATCTCAGACGAAGTAAACGTCGCAGTCAAACCTAGTTCACTTGGCTAGAAGGTTCCGACAATCAGTGATACTGTAATCTTGACTTGATCATGCAGTCTCGGGCTCATCTAGTCAATGAAGCTGTCGTCAGCAGCATCAGGCGAGTCATCTGGCTTACACTCCGACTCGCCTGCAGTTTCCGGGGGTATGCCAATACCAAGACATTCCCTGCGATCAGCGGAAAATCACCAACTCTAATGTCCGTTGGGGAACACCCAAGAGGAATTGACTTCGGATGATAGCAGAGCAAGTTGTTTTAGGATGAAACCGAGGACCGCATGTCATTGGCGGGCGTCGAGCTGCAAGGACGGTCAGCTACAGGAAGCTAGAGAATGATCGCTCCCAGCAAAAAATCGGAGGATCCGAGGGTATCGGAACCACAGCATTGGGACTAACGAAAGCCCGAATGAGCATGTCCACATCGAAAGGGCGGTTGCTCAAATTCCCCGAAGAAGAGACACACGGAATATACTTTGAGTCGGGAACATATCGCATCCCAGATGGGAAGAAACCGCCAAGGCTGCGACACTGGACGAAAAGCATATATCCAATAAGGATTAGACAGCCAAGCCTCCGAGACGGCAGTCTCAACCGAGACCTTTCAATCCCCAGATGCTTAATTCAAGCTTGACAGAAAGGCGCCACAATATGTTCTGTTTCTAACACAATCAGATAGTTATTTCGGAGAGCCACACAATACAAGTCTAAGAAATCAATGGGCATGATAGAATTAGCATGCTCCAGAATCATTTGGGATTCAGTTTCACAATGTTACTAAGCACTCAACCTCAAGTATCAAAATCGCTGTGGGTGGACAATGCGGACAGTGCAGCTAGCGAACAGAGTGGCCAGCAGGCAAAGATCGCAAAGGGAGTCTGATACTTGAGCAAGGAAAGAAAGTTTAAGACAGATTTCTACTTCATCATCAGAAGAACTTCGTCAGAACTCCGTCTGAAACGATTCAACATGTAACAGAACTGCGTTATAGATGCAGGCTTGAATTTAATGTCAACTAGCAACCCACGCACCAGCTTTTACGATCTAAAACTGCCGTATTTCGGATTTGTAGTTGAGGGACTGATTCCAAGTCCGGAATTGAAAACGGAAAGAGACCAGCATTTGCAGATGAATCATTTTCAACTACCCAAATCACTCAGTTGCCTTCCCCAAACTTTATCGCTTCTGCCGTCGGCTTCCTGCCGTGGATCGACCATCTGAGCACTGTTAGCAAGGGTCTATCTGCGATTCAGAACTTCTGCTTACACGTTGAAGTATGCATGAATACTTTTGTCGTTGAACTCATGGCGAACCTGGTCCATGAGAAGCAGAACTTCTTCCCTCGTCCAGTTCAGCGCCCTCGTGAACGGCGCCATACAGAAGCCTTCCCACCCACATGTGATGTTTTCGTTATTCCAAAGTCCCAACTCCTTGTGCCTAGGGTCTCTAGGCCATGCGTTGGTCGGCCATCTGAATCGTTTGATGTAAACATCCCTGAAGCCAATGCCCTTCATCAGGTCTGCTAGTCCCACAACATCCCGGAATGGGCGTCCAAATATCGCAGCAGCTTTTTTGATCATGTGAGATGACTTCAGCATTGCGGAATCTTCCCTTAATGATCCGTCATCGGACGTGGGAATGATGTCGAACTCATTGAGTTCTAGATACCCGCCAGCATTCAGGTTGCTAGAATTTGTTAGCAAGGCAACAGCGAAAGCCGGCTCCTGACTAACTCAAAACATTTTTTTATGTACTTCTCCCAATCTCCGATGGAAGACGCCATCATGCGGCTGTGGATGTAATCAAACGGCTTGTCATAAGTCCAGGGCTCCTCAACGTCATCTATCACAAATTTCACGTTCGGTCCCATGCTGAAAGCTAGTCAGCTAAAGTATGCTTTAACAGAAGAATCGAATCCAAAACGGCTTGGTGACGTACTAATTTGGCCAGGTTGCAGAAAGATTGACTCCAAAGACCTGGTATCGAGCATCTCTGTGAGTTCAAATACCATGTAGATCGACTAGAAAGTCGGATCGCCCACCTCCGCTTCAGGATGTTCATCACCAAACTCCATGGCCCATATCCTGCTTCCAGTGCCGAGATCTAGTGTCCGTCCAACTTTTGTACCTCTCTCATTCGGCGGGGCGGATCCAAGCTTGTTCTCAAACATGAGGAGGAACATGTTGTGCTGCAAGTCTACTGTCCGTTAGTACAGTCTTCTTGATGAATCTTCTTAGTCCCAAAACCGTACCGAGCCTGTCTTTCTCCCTTTCGTCGTTGGGAACGTAATATTCTACCAATACTCATCATAAACATGCTTCAGGTCAAGTATGTTCGCTTAGCGCGTACTGCCATCTTTATACTTGTGATATGTTCGTCCATTTTCGAGGCGGTAATCAAGCACTGAGCTTGCCACACTTGTATTGGATGATGCAATGGTACTCTCAGAGATTGAGCTGACATCTTTAGTGATCTATTGAATAAAAAAAATATTCAGTAAAGGTATAATTTCATCGACTACAAAGCGTTCGTGATACCTCCTGGTCGTCTACAACTAGATCTTCGTTATCGTTCACTGGAGGCATATTGCGTAGTTTTGGGTTCTGCTGGCTAGAAGACTCGGTATGGGCGGCGTTTGTAAGATGAGCCATAGTATTTGGCATTGTAATACGGCAAGCAAGTGGAACTCCTTTTCTCACTTATTTGTGGACTTCTGGTGAGTGTTACTGTTGTGAAAGGAAGCGGGCTGTTAATATCTCAATTGCCAACACCCACCAACCTTTCTCTCGGTTCGTGACGAGCCACGAGATTTCGATTGCTTATTACCCCTCTTCTTCCAAATGTAAGACGTGGCATACAGAATCATGCCATTTCCAAGATTTCTAGTGGGTATTTTTTCCACTAACGGGCGTTCACGCATATGCATCAATGTGGCGGGTATTGTTCCAACGTCTTGGCCATCTTGCCACCACTTTGGTAAAAGCCCAGTGGCTAGTAACGACCAATAATCTTTCGCTACAAGAAGGGTATATACTCAATTTTCTTGTATTCAAGGCTGGTTGTCACTTAATGAAATAAGCTCCCTGAATTACCTACCTTGAGAGAGACTCATAGCTCATCGCACCTGGGAATGAGCCAGATATGAACCTGGGCATGCAGATTGGTCCCGGCAGCAACATATCACAGTGAACTGTGAGAGGTCTAGATGACCAGCACGTTTCTAGAATCAGTTTGAGCACTCTAACATGGGAGTGCCAATATTTAGTAATTAGCAGAACGGTTAATGTACTAGTAGATGGAGATAGATTGTGGTCTTGGAACTCTACTCAAATCAATTCGTAGCAAAATGAACGCGCCCTAGGCCAGACTTTCCTTTGCACGCCTCCTGCAACTCTTCAGAGATATCCCATTGCTTATCAAACTTGCGGCCTCCAAGGAAGAACCACCTAGGACGGCCTGCGTTTTCCTCGTCAAATGCTTTGCGACCATTGAGCTGACTTGCACCTGGATTTGGCTCACCAGGTGCAAAATACAACATATCTAAAGGCGCCCTCGTTGTCGTTGACGTACCACCAAAGTGAATGTCCATTCGACGTAATGACGGCATCCTATCGACAGCGCCGACAAATGATGTAGCCAAGGCTACAAAGATTTCTGGTTCGGGGGTGTATCTAAACCATCTTCCCGGGAACTCGCCAGCCTGTCTATACCATTCAAAATCTGGTTGAAAATCAGAGATGTCGGAGTCATCCGAATCGAAGGCGGCAATCTTCTCATCATGCTCGAGGCCATACCCACCATCATCAGTCAAGGCCTTACTTTGGTCCCCAGTAAGCAAGTATTTACCGTCGGGTGTTGTTATTGAGCAGTCGACGTGAAGATACTCTAAAGAGGGACAATGGATATCTGGCTGGTTTGCAAGAGACCCAAACGCTGCAGGTGATAAGATCCAGAGTGTTTCCAAGTGTAATCGCCGAAGGTTTGGCAGTTGACACAAGCGGCGAACGCCTAGAGACAAGGTATCTTGTTCTTCATCCTCGCCCATCAACGATTCGACAATGTAAGTCTCGTCCATAGGATCTTTGTCGTCGACCTTGATCCTGAACTCAATGAGGCTCGGGAACGATGTGTTGAGTAGAGCGTTTCCAAGGGAAGATCTGATTTGCTTGCGGGCACGCGTCAATCGGCGAGTCGGGAGTCTAAAACTCCATTCCATCTTTCTGGCTGATAGAAGTGTACTCGAGATGGCGGAAATTGCGTCCGGGTGAAAGTTCCGTCCACCAGGCCCACCGTCAAACTCGAACTCGGACACACATGGCACCTGCGGTAGCTTTGCCGGACCTGAGTCGGATGGCGATAAGAGGCTGTAGTCAAACCGCAGGTAGCTAAAGTGGTCTCTTACTTGCCATATCGGCGCAACCCGGTGATTGTGAGTGTTCCTCAGTTCGCCGTGTTCCTCCATCTCCTCAACTAACCTGTCCGTTGGCGACTCCACCGCAATTTTCAGGTTGACACCAGGGCCGTACCGTCGACGTTCCCACTTAGCCAGCCGACCAAGAAAAGTCACAATAGCTCTTGTGAATATCGCGTCATTCTCCGCCGCCTCTTTGCTGCTCTGGAGTTTCTTGATATGTTTGTAACTAATCGTTGGTAGAACGATATGGAAGTCGATATGCTGCACGTAGGCTCTTTCCTGTGGGTCTAGAAATGCTTGGTTGAATCGGGCGAGACCCTCGGCGGTGCTCGGCACCTGTACCCGTACCGACGGCCCAAAGTCATCAATGACAAAAGCATCGAATTCGGCATCAACATTCATGATTGATAGTATATGTTTTTGGATGGATGGTGGAAGAAGTAGTTGCGTAAACGGTTCAGGCGTCGGGTATTTCTTGCTCTCGCAATAGTGGGGAGTTGCGTGATCTCTACATATACAATCGTACCACCTCCAGGCGCACACAGAACCATTTGGGATAGAAAGGATAACGAAATGCGATTTCCGACTTCCCGGCCTTGACTATTGTACCGGTATCTGAAGTATTTCATACAACTTTAAGGTGCCTGAACTATACCAGAAATGGAAGCGGATTATCGATGATGGTTGATAATGCCATGAAAGTGGGACGTCTATTATCGCATTACTTCTCATCGTGTTGGACAATTCCTCTAGGCAAACCCATTTTTGTGACGGATATGTACCCGAACGAATGGCGGAAAAGGCAGATCTGAGTTAGTCGCTCCCAACTCTGGCAATTTCAAGTTAGATCAGTCGAGTGATTTGAGCAGAGTCCACACAGACCGACTCGACAGCTTGGTGTTCCCGGACATTGGCCGGTTCAGGATCGGCGAAAAGAAGATTGCCAGATACCTCCTTCTTTTCCATATTGGTGTAATCAGTTAATGAAATGGATTCAAACCGTCATTCTTGGATATAGCTCCACCACTTTTTCAAGCGGTTTCCATCTACCGGCTTGTTGAACGCCGATAGTGGTTCATGTTAAGTAGACCGGTTCGGGCTTCCCACCGATCGGGCAACCGGCCCGGAACCGTCCGGTGTATCAGCCGGTATTTCTATGCGGGAGTCCGAGCATTATCTGCCGATCGCAGGATTCCGAGCTAAGACGAGAAAACCCATTACTACTATCATGGCTTTCTCGGTTAAACGGCATGCATGTACATTCGCGCTACGAACCAGCACAGGCACCCAGAGACTAGCCGGAACGTTGAAATCGGCATGTCACCAGCCAAGGACAATCCCCTACCATTCACTACGCCTCCACAAGACCCCCTCTCTGGAGTAACAATGGCATGTATTATGAGGAAACGATCCGAGATGTTCGCTCATGGGAACGACTCGCTCTCGCCGAAGCCGGCACTGGCCTGTGATACTGCTGTACCGGTCTTTGCCGGATTCTTACATCATTTATAAGTGAAGCTGAGGAGTTAAACGGATTTGTAGCAATAATATTCCAGCGTGCTGTGATCACCTACGTCCCAAAAGAGATTGGGACTTTGTCTAAAATTAAAATGTGGCTGTCGACAAAGAGTCTCATTGCGGTAGGCTTGCTCAGCGCCTTGGGCCTGAAGCAGCAGGCCACTGCAGTTGAGTTATCGGGCTACACCAAGGACTTGTTCACCGAGTCTATGGACTTCTTGGATAAGATCTATGACCCTGCAGCCGGTTATCTTTATTTCTTCTACTACCCACTTGCGGCAGGAAAGCACGAGACACGATCCTCAGTCTGGTACGCAACTGGTCTCCTGCAGCGTAACATCGGCGATGATGTGGCTCAGGCCACTAAAATCATCCAGAACGTAGTTCGAGATCAGAAGAAGATTCCTGAGGAACAATGGTGAGTGCCCTTTACTATCAAGAGTCTCAAGATGAATTTCAACTTACAACAAAGTTTAACAGGTATGGCGACTACACTGTTTATCCAGAGGAGCCAACTGTTGGTACAGCGGCGTATCCCAAGAGCGTAAGTGTTTTTCCCCTCGCGCACATACCAAATCTCGATTGTGATGCTGATCATTTTGTGAAGATTTACAATACTTGGGATCCTAATTGGCGAGGTTTCATTGGCACAACTCTCATAGTCATTTATGAAGAGTTCAGGCATCTTCTTTCAAGCGACGTCCAGGATCTCATTCTTGAGAGCATGTACAACAACACCATCGGAGACAGCTACCGTGTTGGCGGAGTTGATGACGACAACCTCTATCCTTCTTACAGCAACCCGGCCATCATGCGCGCCGTTGCTACCGGATGGACAGGTCGTGCTCTCAACGACTCAAATATGACAGCTGCCGGCGAACTGTACGCCCAAGAGATCTTGGACTTATTTGACCGAAACAACACACTCTCTGAATTTAACAGCCCAACGTACGCAGGCGTCAGCATCTATTCGCTTACCCTATGGGCCAAGTACATGCCGTCTGACTCGTCACTAATGGGACAGCACGGTGCTCGCATGATCAAATCCATTTGGGACTCCATCGGTTCCATGTACAACGCAAATCTACGCAACGTCGCCGGACCATGGGATAGGACTTACGGTTTCGACATGAACCAATATGTCGCCATAATCAACATCTACATCTGGTCTCTCGTCGGTAAAGACAGGGCCCCTGGCATCTCACAGACCTGGAGCATGGCGCATGCAGACGACTTCGAATACGCGCCGCTCATCTCTGTCTTGGCACCTTTCCATGATGCTCTTGTACCATCGGACGTTGTGGAGAAGCTTAGCGTTTTCCCTGGTGAGCACATGTATGAGACTGCCGCTTTCTCGCCCCCTCACGATTCCGTTCCCCGAAATATCACGACCTGGCTGTCGGCCAACCTCACTATTGGAGCCGAGTCTTATGATGAGGATACACTCGGTGGTCCTCGCGAAGATCCTTCTCAATGGTCTACTGCGGTGGTGCAGTGGGCTAGGAACGACGGCAGCGTCGGCTATGCCGTTCTCCATGGCACTGAAGAGGCTTTGAATGTGGATGTGAGTCCTGGGCATCTCAGCCTGTCATACCCCCGCGGTAATTCTACCAGTATTTTTACATTTCTCGTGAGCTCCAATCCACTTGGTGGGAAGAGAGATATCTCTGGGTTAGACGATCTTGAAGGTATACAAGTTAGCGTCAGTGGTTCGGTGAATCCACAGCCGGGAATTGGATTCTGTGGCCTTGTTGGCGGTACCTGTTCAATTATTCAGTGAGTTCACTCAATCTCCCAAAGTCTCTCGGAACTTGGTACTAACACCAGGCAGTGGATTTGAATTCTGGAACATTACGTTTGTGATGCCTGGTGACTCGAGTGCAGTTCCATCAATCGAACTCGACATTAAGAGTATCATTGGTTGAGGGTGAGTAGAGCCATTAAAGTGGGATTGGAAGCATACGTTGTGTTGAAGTACGTCTACCAATGAGACAGAATATGGTTTCCAATTGTTGATGGTGGCGAGCTATTTGAGGACTATTTTTCACTCGACATTGACGTCGCTGCTCTGGATTCTTTGTGGACGAGTGAAACCTCCACAAAAGAAACTTCTTGTCTGGTTCCGGATTTCATTAAAGCCCCACCGTAACCTGACTTGCAACTCACAAAGACTATGAGGTGAAACTCAATAAAAGCACCTCTTGTCTATTGCGCAACTTATCAATATCATAATCAAAACCGCGTATTACTCTTTTTTTGTCCTGTAGTATGTAATCAATGCGAAGCTTTCGGCGAGTCCCGCTGATTAACTTTCAGCTAACTCCCAAAGAGGCCATCAATTACGCCAGTTGAGCAAATGATTCCTCTTGCCAAGCTGCTTTACCGCCCGGCGGTCATACATCATTATTCATAGCTCCCACCCTCAAGCTCTTGGGGGCGGGACTCCACCGTCAAAGTGGAAGGTCAATGTTCGGCTCGCAACCCACGTGTTCTTCGTGACACCCAATCCCCAAACTCCTATCACAAGTGCCTCGATTACCCCGCGATGAGCGGCAGAACTCCGTTACGATTTGGGATTCGACGCCGATATGCTTACCTTCAATCGGCCGACATCCCCGAGGCGATGTCACATTGGCCCCGTCTGGGAGCCGGTCAACGCAACCCTCAGCTGCCACGGGACTCAATGACAGGTTGGTGGCTTGGTAGGCGCCCCCCCGGTCCCGAGATTTACTGCGAACTGCCGGGCCTATCAAGTTGCATCATGACGCCATGGGGTCACTATCAGAGTCAGGATGATCACTTCCAACTCCAGACTTCACCTACAGCTGTCATCCGCGCAGGCCGTGGCCGTTGCTGACCCCTCGACGATTCCCTTAAGACATCCAAGAGTTTTGACAACTCAATATCAGCTGCACAAACGGAGACCGGTGCGGGCCGAGGTGCTATAGTGGGCTAGTCGATCTGCAGGACAAATTGGGGAAACTTGCTTCAGCCGTCCCAGCTTCCTCTTCGAAGACCGACGTTCCTGGTTTTGCACTCGTCTGACTGGTCAATGGCACTAGATGGCAGGCGTCAAGAAGCCATGCACTGGCCGAAATGGGGCTCGGGCCAAGCTTTCGAGTCGCACTGCTACACCGTTGGTGGACACCAATGGTCGATGCTGGCCCTGGCCCTGCGACGCATTGCAAACTGAGAGAGGGACTGAAGCAAACAACGACAGCCAAGGCTTGGCCCAGCAACCCTCCCGGCGCGTGAGGCGCGCCCATCTCGATCATGAACAGGTGCGAAGCTCCGCATAAGGTAGTCGCGGGAGATGGAGTTGAGGGCATATAAAGTAGCTCCTGTTCCCCGGCACCCAGCATCAGGAGAGATCTTCAGAGCTCCAGACTCCCAAGCCCGACAAGTCCCTCCTGCTTCTCAAAGCAACCCAGGTCCAGTAGCTGCCATCGTCCCCGAATCGTCGCAATGAAGGCCAGCCTCCTCTTCCTCGCGGCCTCCACGGCCCTCGCTGCCCCTCTCGAGAGCGTCCCCGTCGCTCGCAGCGAGATTGGGTCTTTCCCCATCGCTGAGCTTGAGGCTTACTACAACGCCGCTTACTCCGTCAAGCCCGAAGACACCGCCGCTCTTAGCCCCGCGATTTCCAAGCGCCAGTACAACGGCGACACCTTCAACCAGCTCACCGACGGCACGGCTTGCCGCAAGGTTACTTTGATCTGGGCCCGTGGCACCACTCAGTCCGGCAACGTTGGTGAGGCTGGCTCCGAGGGACCCGTCTTCTTCAACGCCCTTGCTGGTCTCGTCGGAACCTCCAACTTGGCTGTCCAGGGTGTCGACTACTCCGCTAGCATTCTCGGCTTCCTCGCCGGCGGCGACGCAGCTGGCAG